CGGAATGGGTAGAGGTGAATATGGACAACTAGGCACTCTTTGAAGCGGGTTATCCGATTCGGAGGAGCACGGTACGTAGTTTCTTGCATGAGCCCGGAACGATGGGGAGGAAGGAACCACTAGTAGAATGCAGGGTTTTGGTTGAGGCCAGGATAAGGGCATTAATCCCGATTCACTCACGAATCGGGACCAAAGGGGGCATCAGTTCCGGTTCGTGAGGCCAGGCCACCGGCCGGGCCTCGAGGGCCATCAGTCCCAGTTCGTCTGACCCCTTTTGTCCCGGTTCCAGGCATGAACCGGGACCAATGGGCCTCGCTCCTGGCCCACAACCTTTATCCCGACTGGTGGCTGGAATTGGGACCAAATGTAGTCCTTTAGTCCCGGTTTTAGCCACCAACCGTGACTAAAGAGAGGCCTATATATACCCCCGCCCCTCCCCGCTAGCAGAGCAGTGCACTGCTTTGTTTTTTGGCCGGCCGTGGGAGAGCTTTGTGGTGCTCTAACTCACCTCCTATGCACATGAGGTGTACGATGAAATGCCCGAGCAACATTTAAGCTTTCTCCTCTCGAAGCTCCTTGTTCAAGCTCCATTTTTCTCAAGATTTGTCTAGATTTGACGGTCCGTCCTGTTACGTCTTCGTCCTCACCGCCGTCGATCGCCCATGCCGATCTTGTCGCCGGCACCACCGTGGTGAGCCTCTTATTCTTATCTTCTTTAAAAAAAATTACTTGTATGATTTAGATAGATACTTGTATAATTTTCTTACTTTTATTATTGTTTGTTATTATATAGTGCGATGATTTTGGTATCCGCCACTGTCGGCCCTCGTCCTGTCTATGATTCGGATGTGGTATATATTATCTTTTATAACAATTTGTTTCATTTAGTGTTTATGACAATTATGCCGACCAACGTGACATAAATGTTTTTATCTAGAAGGTATGTGAACCGAAAATTCTAGCCGACCCATATTGTCTTCTTTTTTTTGCGGGTGAACCTACCCTATTGTCAAGAGGTTAAATTTAGTTGAAAAAGAAAACAATTACTTGAATTTCTTTTTGAAAAGAATCGAGGCCCTCTGGAACCGGGACTAGTTCCATGTGTTTCTACTAGTGAACAACAACCATTTGTACTATGCACATAGACCTCACCCTTGAAAATCCGAGCACCCCCACGCCGAAATTATCGCCGATTCGCTCTCAGGACGGCGCTATTTCCAGCCCCTGGGAGGCCAAACAGCTGGAGATGCTCTTAGCGGCATCAGTGAACAAGCCCTCTTCGCACGCACACGTACAGTAAGGCAAAAATAATTTGCAAGCATGGTGTCATCCCCCCTCGGAAAAAAAGAAGAAGTACAATTCTGTTTCTACCTCTCGCACTCAGCTCCCTCTCGATCCGATCTCTCGCTCACCAACCGGATCGTTGAACGTCGCGCGCTACCTCTCTCCCTTGGAGTCTCTCTCCCTCGCATGCATTTCTAAATTTTTTTTGTCAATATTCTAGCTAGCAATGTGTAACCTCCATGTGTATAAGTAGTACAGATCCTGGGAATGCCAGCTTTGAGAAAAAAAAATAGGGCCATAAGCATATCTCGCGCGTCACACTCTATCTAGTTTGATGTATTTGCATGATAATATGGTAGCAGAATCATTCATGATTAATGTTGCTGCCGAATTATGCCCTTCATTTAATCCCAGAATGAAACTAAAGGCATTTGTTTTAAACAGATTTTTTTTGTTTGCGGAGGGTAAAAAGAAAATCCATGAATAAGAAACAAAAGCACTAGAATATTTCACAGGTACGAGTTCATCCCGCATCTAGTGCCTTTTTCACCTTAAAAGCGGTGCCGGCCCATTTAGTGCCTTTTTCACCGGTTTCTCATTTTTAGTTTTCAATTTTCATTATTTTAATTTAAAATTTTCATTTTGTTAATTTCTTGAACGTTTTCACAATTTTTTTAAACTTGATTCTATTCAATTTTTTGTGAACTTTTGAATTTTTAAAATTCGTTAAATTTTTTCCTTAAACTTTTTCAATGCTTTTTAAAATAATTCATGATCTTTTCAATTTATCGAACCTTTTTTTCAATTTTCATGAACTGTTTTAAAATTTGTTGTCTCTTAATTTCTGAATTTATTTTTCAAATTTCATGAACTTTTCAATATATTGAACGTTTTTGTCATTTTTCATGAATTTTTATCAAATTGGTTGTTTCTAAGTTTTGTGTATTGTTTTCCCAAATTTTCTAAACTTTTCCAATTTATTGAAATTTTTAAAAAAGTTATGAACTATTCTTAGTTATTTTATTATTTTCCCATTTTTGTGAATTTTTCCCAAATTGCAAACTTTCTAAGTATTGAAGTTTTTTTTGAAATTCTTCAACCTTTTCTCAAATTTGTTAACTTTTTTCAATATTCGAAAACTTTTTTATACTTATTGAACTTCTTTTTCAATTTTCACGACATACTTTAAAATTTGGTAAACTGTTTTCGTTTTTGTGAAATTTTATATTTTTCAAATTCATGAAATGTTTTCAAATCCAAAAACTTCTTTTGAACCCATGATTTTTCTGATTTTTTTAAAAGATCACAATTTTTATTTTAGAAGTCAACAATGGACTAGTCAACCGCGACCGATGAACTATGGACCGAGCTACCAGGAAAAACTGTGCATCACAGAGTGAGCGCTCCCCTATTGTTTTGTACCGGCCGACAGGCAAAGGCGCTGCGTTCGCTAAGCGGCGCTTAAGGGGCTCTATGAGCTCACAAGGGGCCCATGCAAGGACTAGCAACTGATACAAGGCTGAAGTGTGATGCATTGGATTAAGGTTGGTTTAATTATTCGGCATTGTCCTGTCACGCGTTTTATTAATACTCCTTCTATTTCAAAATATAGTGCGCCCGCGCTTTCCGAGGTTCAACTTTGATCATAAATTTAACCAATGAAACCAACGATCGGTCTTGGTAGTTAAATTTACGGTTAAAGTTGAAGCACGAGGATAGAGGTTGACTCTTAAGATTTTACGAAGTCACTGTAGGCGCCTCGTAGTCGAGGAAAACGTTTCCTCCCACTGAAAACGTATCGTCGAAATTTCTGAAATAAATCCAGGATAAATGCGAGCATCAGGATTTGAACCCTGATGGATTGGGAATACCACTGTCCACCTAACCATCTCAATCAGAGGTTGGTTCGCAATTTACTTTTACTTAGAAAAAAAAGGAAGACATGGTTTTGTCATGTGAAAGAGGGTATACTCCTTGGTTTGCATAAATAAATAAATAAATAAATAAATGGTTTAATTAAATACAGTAAATAGTTAGGGTTTAATTTGTGTGACCAACAAACACATCACATTGTGGTGCGGGAGGGAGGGACCCAGGTGTCACTCAGGTGAGACTAGTATCCATCCTACCTCCCTCACCCAACCCTACCCACTGGCCACTGCGCGACCTGAGGTTGAGGTTGGGTTGTTCCCATCGTGGTGGGATTGCGGCGGCGGCGGCGGCAACGGTAGAGAGGGAGCATGGGCAGCGGCGGCGAGACTTCAGGTATTCCTTCCTTGGATTGCCACCTCTCCCTCTCCCTCTCCCTGTTGATTCCGTCTTATTCTGCCTGCCTGCTGGTATTATGATAGGGTTGTCAAAGTTGGATTAGATTAGGTTTGTTTTGCTGGCCATTGATGTATGGAGGGAGGGAGGGAGGAAGCTACCTTGCTTGGTTCGGTTGACATCAATATGAATATGAATGGGAGGGATGGATGGATGGATGGATTCAATGGCCGGCCAAAAGTACTAGGGAGTATTACTAGTCGTCGTCTGAGGTGGGTGGTGAGGTCAGTCAGGGGAAGCAGCAGGGGAGGGGAACAAATGTGTATGTGCCACCAACCACGATTACCCTACTAGTAGTACGTAATAACATTAGTCAACAATTGCCCTGCCTCCCTCACTTTTCAATTGCTTGCTTTCCCGACTTCATTTTCAATGCCTTTTTTTTTGCGTGGAAAGAAAAAAAGAAAAAGGATTGATTTGTTCCTCCTTTGTCTTTGTGGTTGGTTGGATTGATTGATTGATTGATTCAAAGCAAGGACAAGGAACTGGTCTTCACTTGTATTGGATTGGATTGGATTCAACAAATTGAGCAATAAAGATCAGAGAAAAAAAAACGGCTGTCCCTTTCCTCCCCATTAATCCCCTGCTCTGCTCTGCTCCCCAACCGATCACAATAGAATACTTGACAATTCTCTACTCGACTCCCTCCATCCGTGTTTGTTGCTTACTTACTCCTTGCATTTTTCAATCATTCTTCTTCTTGGTGCATCCCCAACCATCCCTCTCTTCTTCTTCTTCTTCTTCTTCTTCTACCCTTTGCTTGCTTGCTTGCTTGCTTGCTTGTCCTTTCTGCTGCTGCGGAACCCTCGGCCTATCAACCAGCCTCAGTTTTCCGGTTCTTACCATTACCAGGTGAGTGAGTCCAGCTTCGTCCGTTTCATCGTTCATCTCTATGCTTCCCTCCTTCATGCCATGCTATATATCAAACAATCAATCTATCGATGATGCTGCCTTTCCTTCCATGATTGCTTGCTTGCTTGCTTGTTACCTTCCTTCGCGCTATCTCACAAGGATTTGCTTGCTTGCGCTGCTCTCAGCAACAACAAAATTATTTTCATTCTTTGTATGCTTCTTCCTTCCGCCAAATTCTCCTTTTTATGTGTATTGCTCTTACTTTGGGGTGCTCGCCAAATTCTCCTTCCTTAGAGACTGCATGATTTTCCCTCCCACACAACCGCTCCTTACACAACAAAACCCCCAAATACTACTATAAGATCAGCACAACCACGCTGCTTTCTGTATCTCTGGATCATGACAAGTAACTGTTGTTTCTCCTTTTTTTCAGAATATGAAGACCGCCATCACAGAGAGCCTCCTGCATTGCTGAAACCTGAATATTACTTACTGCCAACAACTTGGGGGAATTTTCTCCTCTCCTCTGCAACGGCGCCATGCTGCCCTTGTATATCTGCTCTGCTATCTTCACATTATTATATTTCGCACATGTGCAGCAACCGACGGCTGCACAGATCACAGCACCATGGGAAGGTAAAATCCATCCATCCATCCATCTTAACCACCACCATACATACCTCTTTTAAATTTTTGTTTGGTATTGTACATATTCTTCTTATGTTTACATTCTTCTATATCCTCCTTGCATTATCATGAGAGCTAGAGAATGACTAACTAGTTGCTCTGCATTTCATTTGGTTCAACTGCAGTCAATGCTTTGAGAGCTATAAGAGGCAGCTTGAGTGATCCAAATGGATTTCTCAACAACTGGAACCGTGGAGATCCATGCGTCGCGAATTGGACCCGTGTTATCTGTTACAACGTAACAGCAAAAGATGATGGTTACTTCCATGTGCAAGAACTGTATGTCATCTCTCATATATATCCTTCCTGTGATGGAAATATGTTTCACTTGGTGATTGATATATTTTTCCTCCTACTATATATGTGGTTACAGGCAGCTTCTACGGTTGGGTTTATCCGGGACTTTAGCTCCTGAGCTTGGCCAGCTTTCCCGCATGAAAATTATGTAAGTGGAGTCGGTTCAGCTGCGTAATTATCGCATGGATTGCACAATTAATGAAGGGGGGGACTGACTACTTCTTTTAATTTCCTTTCAAAGGGATTTCATGTGGAACAAAATCACTGGGAGCATTCCTAAGGAGGTCGGCAACATTACTTCTCTGGAACTATTGTAAGTCGCTCCAAATCTACACCACTGATTGATTTGATTACAAATAAACATGGTCTACCTGAATCAGTTTCCTTCATATCCTTCCTGTTGGAGATGGTGGTTATCATTTTCCAATAAATACTTGTTCCTCTGACTCTGAGATGATTGCACAATTGATGTTGCTCATGTAACAATGTGTCCATTGCTTATGTTTGCAGGCTCGTAAATGGGAACCAGCTGTCTGGTTCTTTACCAGATGAAATTGGCCTCCTTCCTAATCTTAACAGGATTCAGATTGATCAGAACAATATATCCGGACCCATACCTAAATCATTCGCTAACCTGAACAAGACCAAGCACTTGTAAGTAGAATATGTTTTTGCCTCTCTGTTAACTTGTAATCGTGATCCTTGTTACCCTAATGGATTTCCAATTTCTGTGCAGTCACATGAACAACAATTCATTGAGTGGTCAGATTCCACCTGAATTGTCAAGGTTACCTTCACTTGTTCACATGTAAGTACCTGACCTGACCACTGCACCCACCATAATAATTGTTTTTCATATATACCCTACTGACAGTATAATTCATTTGCAGGTTGTTGGATAACAATAACCTATCGGGCTATCTCCCTCCAGAATTAGCGCAGCTACCGAAACTGCTCATCATGTACGAAGCCTACTATTGTGCAGTAGTTTGAATATTATTCAATCCTTGATCATGAATCGGACTAAAATTTTCGGTTGTAGATGAAGCTCATGAGAAGTAGTTCCTCTGTATTTGTTTTTCTGTAGCTTAAATTAATACTAGTTACTAATCGGACTAGTGTTCTTTATGATAACTTGCTCAATAGTAATACTGGGAAGTTGCTTTAACTGGCATTAGCACAGTTATTAGTTGTTTGGGATTACTTATGATTTCACCCTGACCTTTACGGCTTTATTTCCTGCCATCAGTAAACCACTAGTAATTACGTGTTTTCAAAATGATTCCAGCCAGCTAGACAATAACAACTTCTCGGGAAGCTCGATTCCTCCATCTTATGGCAATATCACCACACTTCTGAAATTGTAAGTATGTTGTATATCTGTCTGCCTTGTTTAGCTATCTGCTCACATGACTAATGGATATGGTCCCTCCATCAGGAGTTTGAGGAACTGCAGCTTGGAAGGCCCTGCTCCTGATGTCAGTGGAATACCGCAGCTTGGCTACTTGTATGCATCCAATTCTGAAACTGCATATTACAGTACCTTATATGGAACAATCTTATACTTGCTCTGATCTCTCTTTCTTTCTTTCTTTCTTTCTTTCTTTCTTTCTTTCTTTCTTTCTTGTGCTGGTGTTTCTTTCAGGGATGTTAGTTGGAATCAGTTGACGGGTCCCATACCATCCGGCCAACTAGCAAGCAACATAACTACAATGTATACAACAAATAAAGCTTGTGCCATTTTGTTTCATAGAAACTTCCATTTTAAGTTTGCACTCACTTTTGCAAGCTGTGCAGAGATTTTTCCCACAACCGTCTTAACGGTTCTATTCCTGCAAGTTTCTCCGGCCTTCCTAATCTACAAAGACTGTAAGTCTCACACTGCTCTTCTTCATTATTTGATAAATGTACCAAGGAGAACTTTAGATTATTGCTCATTTGGTCAATAGTAGTGATAATATAGTTAACATCAGTGTAACAAAGAAGTTGACTAATCGTTGTTAATCCTTAGGGCCTGCTCGTCCATAATAGAGCACTGTTGATGAATGTTCAGTCGAATCAGACAGCTGACCTTATTTTATTTTTGTGGTGTTGATTCAGGTCATTGGACAATAATAACTTGGATGGCTCTGTTCCATCTGATGTTTGGCAAAATATCGATTTCAGTGGAAACAGAACCCTGATATTGTAAGGCCATCACAAGTTGAACCTTTTGTTTCACCTCTTTGACTCCCGAGAACGGTTTAATTAGCATATTTCTTTGGAACTGATAGTCTAATACTCTCCTTTGAATATTTTGCAGGGATTTCCACAACAACGGTCTCACGAATCTGTCAAATCCTCTTACGCCCCCTGCTAATGTTACCATCCTGTATGCATTTCTACTGAACAATTTCTTTGTTCATTTTAAAATTAGAAAAAACTTGACCTACTTGAACCATTAGAAAGATTCTATGTTGACACCCCGGAATTGGTCAGACAATCTTTGTTTGATAAAAGAAAAAAAATCTGCTGTTGACTGGTACTATAGCTTGAATAGTAGTCTTAACTTCCACATGTTATCTACGACTATATGCTGCAACTACATACTGGATATTTAACCTCACAATTCGAAAAAAAAGTTCCATTCACATGATTAAGTGGAGAAACAATCGTGTTGGAGTTTTCAGACCCATTTATTTGCTGCAGCAGATTTATTTGACGTTGCCAGTACCTCATATACATTTCCTTTATGCACATGGCATGTTTAGGTTATCTGGAAACCCCGTATGTCAATCCCAGAACCAACTGAACATAGCTCAGTATTGTCAATCAACTCCAGAAGTTACCGCCGAAGGAGGCTCCATAGATAACAGCACACTTTGTGCGCCATGCGCAACCGACTTTCCTTTAGAAAGCGTACTCAAGGCTCCAAATCCATGTTCATGTGGCGTTCCACTGTACGTCGATTATCGGCTGAAGAGTCCAGGATTCTGGGATTTTGTTCCCTATGAAGCGCAGTTTCAGGAGTACCTGTCGTCGGGGCTCTTTCTCAACTCGTACCAGCTGGAAGTTACCACTTTCATGTGGGAAGAAGGCCCAAGGCTGAAGATGACGCTGAAGCTGTTCCCAAACAACACCATTCTTTTCAATTCGCGTGAAGTGGAGAGACTGAGATACATGTTCACAGGGTGGCTCATCGCGGACTCGGATATATTTGGGCCCTATGAGCTTATCAACTTCAACCCAGGGTGGTATGAGAACGGTATGTATGCATGCTATTTTATCTTCACTCCACTCCATATTCCGTTTCGTTGCAATCTTTTGTCGCGATGTTTGTATCAGCGATCAACACGTGCCTACAGCCGTACAGCAGAGCAACATATAGTAGCTTGTTTTCTTAAAATCTTTTCTAGTTAGGGTTACTCGCGGTAGAATTATTGAAGAGATAAGTCACATTTCCCTATGCTTTCTTTTCAGTACTGTCGCGTGGTACAAAGAAAAGTCTCAGTACAGGTGCCATTGTTGGTATTGTCATCGCAGCATTTGCTGCAGCGGCAGTTCTGTCATCACTCATTACTCTCATCATATTGAGAAGGCGTTCAAGACAGTTTTCAAAGAAACGCACCGGTAAGCCCCTCATTTCTACCTTCTTTGGTCTAAAACTGTTAGATGATTCAATCTCGTTTTCAACAAAGTGTAATAATAATGTTTCAGTAGTCCACTTTTATTTATTTATTACTCCCTCCGTCCCATAATGTAAGAACGTTTTTGAAACTATACCAGTGTAAAAAACGTTCTTGTATTATGGGACAGAGGGAGTAGAACACACTTCTTTTTGCTTCTGATTTTGTTAATTAGTACAGAGTTGCGGCACTGTACATATTGTTCTTTTGACTTTTCAATATGAGTTTGCTATTCAGTTGCACGATGAAAATATTCTATTGGCTTTGCAGCGAAAAGGATTCCGATGAAAATTGATGGCGTGAAAGACTTCACTTTCGAAGAATTATCAAACTGTACAAATGATTTCAGTGAGTCGGCACTAATTGGTCAAGGAGGGTATGGAAAAGTATACAGGGGGGTGTTGGCTGATGGAAAAGTAGCAGCAATAAAACGTGCACAGGAGGGATCTCTTCAGGGTTCCAAGGAGTTCTTCACGGAGATAGAATTGTTGTCCAGGCTGCATCACCGAAACCTCGTTTCTTTGCTTGGCTATTGCGACGAAGAGGATGAGCAGGTTGCTATTTTCCACTGCAACTTTTGTTTTTCTATAAACTAATAATCAAAACTACAAATGTTGCTATGATGATACAAACATACTAATAAAAAAACATGTATTGCAGATGCTGGTGTACGAGTACATGCCAAATGGTACTCTACGTGATCATCTTTCAGGTTAGAACTTGTTTTCGATCTGTAGCCACCTCAAAATTATCATGCTTTTTTGGTCGCTTGCAAACTATTTTTGCCTGTCCTGTGTCGAAAGTTGCTCTAACTTGCCGGTGCTTCATTTACGTAATACTAACAGCTAAAGCTAGAGAGTCTCCAAGTTTTCCCATGAGGCTACGAATCGCACTGGGATCATCACGGGGCATCCTGTATCTGCACACGGAAGCCGACCCTCCGATATTCCATCGCGACATCAAGGCCAGCAACATCTTACTGGACTCCAAGTTTGTAGCCAAGGTTGCTGATTTCGGCCTGTCGCGGCTGGCTCCGCTGCCAGACACAGAGGGGAGCGCCCCTGGCCACGTGTCCACCGTCGTCAAGGGCACTCCAGTGAGCAGACTCTTCTCTTATTGTCCCCCATCTACTAGCTGCATTATTGATTGGTTGAGTTGGCTTTGTGTACAATTGGCAGGGTTATCTTGACCCGGAGTATTTCCTGACGCACAAGCTGACGGACAAGAGCGACGTGTACAGCCTGGGCGTGGTGTTCCTGGAGTTGCTTACAGGGATGCAGCCAATTTCTCATGGGAAGAACCTTGTGAGGGAGGTTGTGGCGGCGAACCAGTCGGGGATGATCCTGTCGGTGGTGGATCTGCGGATGGGGGCCGTGCCGGGGGAGTGCGTGGAGCGGTTCGCCGCGCTGGGGCTGCGGTGCTGCCGGGACGAGACGGACGCGCGGCCGTCCATGGCGGAGGTGGTCAGGGAGCTGGAGACCATCTGGCAGATGACGCCCGACATGGACGGTGTGCCCTCGGAGTCGGTGGCCATGGACCCCACCCACACGCCAGCGTCGTCGTCGACAGCAACCGGGTCTCGGACGGGCAACGAGCAGTACGACATGTCGACGTCGGACGTGTCTGGCAGCAACCTTCTGAGCGGCGTGGTGCCCAGCATCAACCCTCGCTGAGAAAGATGAATTGTTTGTTTGTGTGGAGCCTGCATATGTATATATATGGTTGCTGGTGTATGGATGTGTGTAGTATGTGTCGTTTGTGCTTTTTTAGGAATTGTGCTCTGCTGCTGCTGGTAGAGATTTTCGTTAGAAATTTGTGATTGTTCAAATTTCCATTTGTGTTTTCGCTGCTAGTCAGGAGTATTAGGAATTTGTGAGCTATTAGAAATTTGGTTGAAATTTGTGATCGTTGATGTTTCTATTCCCTTGTGTAATTTGCTTCATTTGGTAGAAATTTCCATCTTCTGGAAAGTGCGTGCATTAGGAAGGAATAACAAACTCGCCTACTTTTTTTTTTGAAGCAATCGTATATTTCATTAGACAATTTGTTCACAGAGATTACACATATGGTCACCGTACGAGACAAAAATGCTTGTCAAATGAAGCTCACAAATTTCACAAGAAGTAAAACTATTATTCCATCCAAACAAATGAAGCTCACAAATTTCAACCAAATGAAGCTCACAAATTTCTAATAGCTCACATTGCCCTGTAAGTTGTGAAAATAGGAATAACAAATCAAGTGTGTTTAACTAGTAGGACTTTTACAAGCTTGCATTGTGTTTGAAAATAGGAACATGTTTATGTGTAATCTTGGGGATCCTCAGATACAATTCAGATAGATATTGGCATTGCCTACAACTCTGCTCAAGCAGCAACACTAAAGAGTCTATGCATGCTCTGTGCTGCCGCATGACTAAAGAGTGTGCAATGGCAAGTCAAGGGGGTGACTTCCATATTTCAGCTTAGGACTTAATTTATTTTATACTTTATATATAAAGTTAATGAAACTGAAAGTAAAAAAATGAAAGGAATGATTTTTTTTATACTTTATATATACACGGATTTCAGTGTTTATACTTTATAAATTTCAACCGGGTCTCGGCCTGGTCTCGGCCTGGCGACAATCTTCTTAATTTATTTTATACTTTATATATACATGGATTTCAGTGTTTTCACAAGGTTACTGATGATTACTAGCAGGGATGGCATGCAAATAGTTACTTTTCATAAAGTTAATGAAACTGAAAGTAAAAAATGTGAAACAGAAACTGGTAGGTGTATCAAAGTTAATGAAACTGAAACAAAAACTGGTATGTGTATTAATTTTTTGAAAACCCAGTTTTTAAAATGGGCGAAATTGGTTTTGAAAACATATTAAAACGGTTTCTTGGAATTGAGAAACTTTTATTTAAATGAAAGGAATGATTTTTTTCAAATTCAAATATATTTATAACAGATTGCAAATCAATTTAAAGTGAGAGAGTTTGATGTATTGAAGAAAAACTCGTATTGACACTTTATATATGAAGTGAGAGAGATTGCTCGGTCGTACGTGTAAAGTGAGGGGCATGGCTGAAATCACGTGCGTGGGCCCTGTCTGACGAAATATGATGAGTAAAATACAAATATACAAATTTTGAGTTGACAACATCCTATTGGTGGGAGAACCACCGTAGCTACCGGAACCGGTAAAAAAACACTTTGCGCGCCACCACCACAATAGGAGTTGGACAAGCCTTGTTCATCCCCCTTAGCACCAACAGTTGAGCATGTGTGAGCGAGGCATCATGCCCAACAGTGATGCGGTGGGGAGAAACGCCAAACCTCCAAGGAGTAGGCCGTGTGCGGCCATCCCTTCCTGGTGCAGTGCTCGAAGAGAGCAGGGTATATTGTCGTCAATGGTTCTCCCCCAAGGCATCGGCAATGGTGAGATTCTTCCTGGTCTAGTGCTCGAAGAGAGCATGGTACACCGTCGCCAGGATCGTGCGTTGAAGCCAGTGGTCCTTCTAAAGCGCGATTCGCCTACCGTTACGGAGGTGGAAGATAACCGAGGCGTTGAAGAGTGCCCCCACCTTCTGGTGGATGGGCAGCTCTAGCCCATACCACAACTTATTGTGATCGGTCCAATACTGCCATGGCAAATTTTAAAATTGTTCGTTTTCAAGAATATCCGGCAATTCATAGTTGTTAATGTTATTGAAAATTTTAAAAAGAATCATTTTTTTTTTCAAAACTTAGACTGCAGTATGTTCTTAAATATTCGCACTGACCTTGGGTTAGAAAGAAGCGTTTGTTCGAGTGCCTACCAGTATGTGGTTGGGTCTTTGAAGTTGTGAGTTCAATTCATCAACGCGTCTTTCTTTTGGATTTTTACTCGCGCATTACAAGCAAATGTTGTTTCGGTGCCTGCCAGTGTGTTGGCCGAGACGTGAACTGTTGTGTGTCGCATGTGTTTTTTGGTCTGTTTTCCATGGAAAAGAAATACAAAATCTATCCAAAATAATACGAAATTTTCTGTGTCCTAGAAAAGGAAAAATCGTTTGTTTGGAATTTTGTATGTGGGTCGCGCGCTGTGGCCCAGCGAACAATCCCACTTATTTTTCTGTCCATACAGTTGGGAAAACCCTATTTGCCGCACAATACGTTAAATAGCGGGAGCTTCGCACAGGCGACCAAGACTGGGCCAGACCTGTTTTGTTTTCTGTGTTCTATTTCTATTTTTAGTTTTCGGTTACTTTTTTTTTTGCATTCCAGGTTCTCTTTTTTTGTAAATTCAATATATATTGTAAAATGCTCATAATTTCCAGTTTTGTTCACATTTTCTAAAATATTCTTAATTCCAAAATATATCCTGTTTCAAAAACTATCCGGATCTTTAAATATATTTTCCCTCGTTCCACATTTTTTCAAAATTCAAAAAATGTTCCAATATTTCCAAAAATATTTTGGTTTTGCATAATTGTTCAAGATTTATAAAATGCATATTTTTCATGTTCGAAAAATATTATGTTTTTATTGTAATTTTGAGTAGTTCCACATAATGTTCCTGCTTAAAAACACATTATATAATTTGTTTTAAATGTTTAAAACATGTTCCCGTTTTCAATAATTATTCAAAAAATGTTTTTATAAAAGTACCATGTTTTCAGAAAATGTTTACTAATTTAAAAAATGTTCATTTAGTTCGTTGTATTCCAAAAATGTATGAAATTTCGAAAAAAACTATTCTCATTTTCTACAAATGTTCGGGATTTCAAAGATTCTTCACGTTCCCTAGAATATTTTGGAATTCATAATTATTAATGTTTTTAGAAAAGTTTTAAAAGAATCAATAAAAAAATGTATCGAATCTTACAGTACAGTATGTTCGCGCTGGCCTTGGGTTAGAAGGACACGTTTGTTCGAGTGGCTAGAAGCACGTGGTCGGGTCTTTGAAGTCGTGAGTTCGATTCTCCGACTCGTCTTTCTTTTGGATTTTTACTCGCGCATTACAAGCAAATGTCGTTTCAGTGCCCGCCAGCATGCTGGCCCAGACGCAAACTGTTGTATGTTCCACTCACTATTTGATGCTACTAGCGTTATATAGTAGCCCATATGAGAGCTAGCCCAAGAAAAGCGAACTAATTGCTCTGTCCCCCATGCTGTATTGGGCCTCAGCCGCACTCCCTTACTGGGCCACCTCCTCATCCGAACTACCGATCCTCGTTGAGGGAGGCAAAAAATATTTTGCGGCCGTAAGGAACCAAACTTACGACGACCCATCCAGTTCTTCGAGCGGATGCTAACTGAGCTAGGTAAGTTTTGTTACATAAAAACGACCGGTCCTCCTATTAAAATATGTATGGATTTTGTTTCATTCGTTCCGCACATGGTTCCCTTTTTTTCGTTTGTCCCCCGGGTGAGCTGAACTGGGCCTATCAGACATTTCTTTTTCTGTCGGATGAGCATGTAACAAAAAGTTTGGGTCACGAGGGGATTGAACTATAGACCTTCTCTATTATACCGATGGACAAAAACAACTCAACTAGCTTTCAATTATGATAGGATTGGTCCCACCTTGGATCTTTATACTAAATCCCACTTGTTTTTATATGTCCTCAGGTTGTTTGGAAATAAGGATGTTGTCCGAAAATATGGAAATTGTCTCAAGAATCATGAGTAGAACGATGGACTCCATGACTTATTCTGCACTCTAGGAGGGGATCGTAGTTTGGCCGCATACACATCAACCGTGATAGGGTGGAGGGCCATGTCAAGATCATGAGAGAGACTACTTTGCTCCAAATCCAACCACACTTTTAGATGCACACAAGTCTTTTTCTAACCATTGCAAAAACGTTGAGAAGTATGATGACTGGTTCAAGTTCTGGAGAAATGACGAGGTTCTCCCCCAAGGCATCGGCAATGTTGAGTTTTTTCATGGTGCAGTGCTTGAAGAGAGCAGGTTACGCTGTTGCCAGAATCGCTCGTTGAAGTCTGGGGTCCTTCTAGAGTGCGATGCGTCTGCCGTTGCCGACGTGGAAAATAACTGAGGCGTTGAGGAGCACCTCCACTTCTGGTGGATGGGCAGCTCCTCTAGCCCATGCCACGGGGTAAAATTGACAAATTTGACCTCAAAGCAAAAGTATTTCACAAACTAAACTGCTTTTGAAAGTATATCACACTGCTGACCCTTTTGTGTAGCGCCCGACAACAAGGCGCTGCACTCTACTGTGCAACTCCTTACAGCTAGGCGCTGCACAGTGTAGTGCAACTCTTTAGAGCTAGGCGCTGCACAGTGTGGCGCCTAAGTGTTAGGCGTTGCACAGTAGAGTGCAGCGCCTTGCTGTCAGGCGCTGCACATTAAAGATCAGTCGGGTGAAATACTTTCAAGAACAGTTTAGTTTGTGAAATAGTTTCGATCTAAGGTCAAATTTGTGCCTTTTGCCATGCCACGGCATGTTGTGGTCGGTCAAGTACTGCCATGAAAAATTTAACGTGCTCCCTCTTATCTCCCATTTTTTCATGTGAGGTAGGAAGATACTCCCTTCATCATAGTTTACTCTTACCTCTCATGTGAAAAGAGGAGGTAAGAGCCAACGAGTCATGTCCTGAGCGCCTTGGCCGTGCTCGTTGCGTGTAGGTTGGAGATGCCGAGGCCGTTGAATTGTTTCGGCTTGCAGGCCGCCTTC